TCTATTCAATTAACAAAAAAAAAAGTCAAATCAGTCCAGATGTTGCGGACTAGAAAAATTAAAAATTTTTATCTTGATAATGAGATCATTGGATGAAATTTATTGAAAAGAATAGAACAATTGTAGTGAATAATAAATAATCGACGAGTTTAGTTTATTTTGTTATAAATATTGATTCATGTTTCATCTGCAATTATTTTACTTTCCTATCATATAGAGTTATTTTCTAGAGTTTCTTTTTAATATGCACTAATAAAAATCACTGAATAAAAATTTATGTAAAAAAAGTGGAAATGATAAAAATTAAGCAAAAAATTTAAAAGGACGCAAAAGTTCTACAAATCAGAACTTGATAATAAAAATCAATAATGTTTGAAATGGTTTTGTGACAAAAAAAATTAACTAACCTGCACAAATACCAAAAGGGCTGCAACAAAAACTGCAAATTGTTCATATTGGATAAAAGGTATTTTTATGTATTTCTGATGATACATTCCAGTTTATATATGAATTGTACATTTGCAAAAATTTGATAATTATGATAATAACTCTCCCAATGAATAGTTAATGGTTAAAAAATGTGTTACAGGATATGATATATATTATTATTGGATGTATACACGTTCTAATATAAATTTGCCATTTATTTTGTTTAATAAAGTGTGTCTTAATAAAATTTACGACTAGGTAATGATAAAGGTTGTAACGATTTAATTTGCCTACCACATTGGGTATCACTTATAGGGAGGTTGAAAGTGGGAACTGAGCAATTACTGGGCTGGAGATATTGTAAGCAAACAAACCGAAACGTTTGCGAACAGTCACTCTTGTTTTGGTTGGAGAGCTGGGTTGTAAGAAAGAGTACAAAGGAGGGATTGCAAGGGGCAACTACAAAGAGAGAAATAAAAAAAATATTTATATAGATTTCCTGGGCAACAAACACAAGAAGGAATCGAATCAAAAACACTGAAAACAACATAAAACTGTGTCCTCACACAAACTGCAACTAACTTGGGGTGACCATGAAACGTAAAAATGGACAAATCTTGGGAAGTTGGACAATGATTTGGGCTTCGTATTATCCTGGATGACAACAAACTGCAATCTTCGAAGCTCGACCACTCAATTCGTTCTTAAAACCATGTGGACCTCTCAAATGGTTGAAACGCCTCTAACAAATCCCTCAAATGGGGTACAGCATAAAAAAATATCGGTGATTAACTCAACAAAAACTGTCCAAATAGGACTTTGAGCCCAAATTCACCTCTCAACTTAAAAAATTGCCGGCTTTGAAGACTACACGCCGAAAGTTATCTCTTCCAAATCCAAATCTCAACTTCTCGTTTCTCGTTTTTCTTCCTCTCGGTTCCCTCGACCTTTCATAACCTCCCGACCAGTTATTTTATTCTTAGCGTATTTCCTGTAATTCTTCTCAGTACTCTCATCTTTGCCATTTACAGTAGCCTTTGCGTTGTGGCTGTGTCAGGTCTTGTTTCTGAGGCGTATATCATTCTGAGGTCTTACACCGGCTTTATAAATTCTGACTTTATCTCAGTGTCAATGTGTCTATTTCGCCATATAGTGTTATTAAGGCATCCTGCCAGTCTATTTGTTTTTTGTATTTGATCTTTCACTTCTTTGTACATGTCTCTATAGCTAGACAGTGTAATTCCCAGGTATTTTAAATACATAAATACATACTTAAAGATAAGTAAATAATACTTAAAGAATTAAAATTTAAAGACAATGATTATAGTCTTCTTGGACGCTACCTACGGCTCTAAAGTATAATCTGGATCTTCTCAAGGCTAAATCTTCACCATTTAAGTTCTAGTTCATGACAACCGATGTTTATTGAACCAATTTTCCATATCTTCCTTTAATCTAAACTTTGGCCTACTTCTAAGGGCCAGCGAATCATACTCAAAAATCGCATATCAAAGCTGCATTCCTTAGTTTTAATACACATTTTGATTTTTGTGGATAGGACACTCTGATCCAAAGATATCCAATTTTTACTGTCGAATTAATATCTACAAATTATGTTAAAAAAATTGATTTCGCGTGCATAACTGACATTCAAAATCGCCGACCGCTTCAAGCGGTGTTTCTACATTTTTGTTCAAAATTACTCAGCCTCATTTCTGGTTTGGTAAATCGATGTTTTGCCCCTCATCCGCTACTATGAGGGGCGATTTTAGAAAAAAGCCCGAGATTAAAAGTTGCAAACTTTTTTGCATCATTTTGGAATCTCAAAATTGAAACTTTCATCAAAATTCAGCTTGTTCGTCTCGTTTTTAGATTTTAATATATCTTTTTAGATTGGAAATTGACCGAAAAATCTAAACATGATGGATGGCATTTGTTCACATGTCATCGTAACCGAGAACTATATTTGTGATCAAAAGCACTGTTTATTTTTCTTTTTTTTTTCGAAAAACTTGATAAGAATTTTAAAAGCTAATTTTTGAAATTGGTCTTTCTTATACCAAATATTTTGCCCACATTAACATTATATTATATTATATAACATTATATAACCGAAACTTTTCAATCAGGCTCTTGAAGATACTTTTAAAAGATTGAATGGGAAAACAAAGGTATAAAAATTTGTGGACAACGCTTGAAACATCTAAGGTACGCTGATGACATCGTATTGATAACCGATAAAAAAGGATTATTTTTTGAAATGACGAAAGAACTGGATGTAGAAGCTGGAAAGATAGGCTTAATATGAATTACAGCAAGACGAAGATCATAACAAATACAGATGAAGACATCACAATGAGAATCGAACAACATGAAATAGAACAAGTTAAGGATTATATATATCTTGGTCAAACTATAAAATTAAGCTACATCTCTTAAAAACAAAAGATATCCACAGCATCTTAAGACCAAAGTATATAATCAATGCGTACCTACTCCCTGTTTCTTACTTATGGTTCCCAAACGTGGACATCTACAAAAGCAAACATGGACAAAATCATAAAAACCCAAAGAGCAATGGAAAAACAAATGTTGCACATAAGACTAATGGATAAGAAGAGAAACGAGTGGATAAGAGAGAAAACAAAAGTGAGGGATGTTAGACAAGAAGTTGCAAAATTGAAAATGGAGATTTGCCGGACACAATATAAGACAAAAAGAAGACCGATGGAACAAAATCTGATAAGTTGGAGACGTGGGAATATAAACGAAGCAGAGGAAGGCCCCAAATGAGATGGGCAGATGATATCAAGAAGCATGTGGCTCTAGATGGATGACTGTAGCGACAGACAGAGAAGAATGGAAAAGGATTGGGGAGGCCTATGTCCAAAGATGGACCGAAGAAGGCTAATTAGATAGATAGATAGAACATTATATTATAAACCAACTGATCGAAACCTGTCGCTTCGTGTGTGGAGATAGGTTGTATTAGGTTGGAAACTGATTTAAATCGAAGAAAAGACTGTTTATTTCTGTTAACTCTTTATGAGTACAAGGAATCAGTTCGCCAATGAATTTTTGCTTGGATGAAGAGATATGTTGTGGAATGCAACTTTTAGATTCCCCATACCTCTCTTACATCTTTATCATCGTCTTTTTTCTCTTGCAATTTATGGAAGGCACAGATTAAAAAGCAAAAATCTGAATTTTGGTTTCGTCAAAGAAATCTTTGCATTTCTACTTTGGTGACTAATTTTTAGTTTTAACCGTTGTTTTAAAACAGTTGCGCCGTTGGCGATAGGCTTAAGTTGTCTTCCCCATGGGCGTGACAGAAAAATTATGTTCTTTTATGTAATAACTGTTAGTTATATGTTAAAGATATATAAAATTTTCTATTTTTATTGTAAGATTCAGGCTCCTGTAACCAAAAATTGAGTGGTCTTGAAGTTTAGCCTAAAGAAAAATTTTGACATTCAAACATATAAAATTTTGTTAATCATCTACGGGATTTGTTAAAAACTATGATTTGTGCTAAAAAGTAAAAGTATCTTAAGTGACTCCAGAGTAAAGTTCTGTAGTTTCTGTATTGTTGTATATCTCCCTTGTTTTTGTAAACACGCACCAATATACTGTTTTCTCATTCGTCTAGCATTTGTCACACTTCCATAATTCTATTAAATAAACTTGTTAGTCAACTTGTTCCTATCTCTTCTAAAGCTGTCACATTTTGACACATATCATCTGATCTAACTGTTTTACTTTTTTTATTTTTTGAAGTGCTTGAATAACGTTTGTGACTTTGGTGACCACTGCTGGTGATGTCTCTCTCACAAATTCTTCATTTAATAAACTGTTAATAAAGTACTTTTTCCATCGTTTTTTGACATTCTTTTCGTGAACTACACTTGCGAGCAAAAAATATCGGCTTAAAAGTAAAATAAGATACATTTTTTGTTACACCATAAATTGAAGTAATTTTTATTGTAATGACATCAATATTTATAAAGTTAGTAAGTAAAGAACATAACAAAGATAACTTAATATTTTATGTGAGAGAAAAGATGATATGAATGAAAGTCATTATGTAAGTAAATTAACATAAAAAATCAAAATTAATACTCTGGGTGCAATCTCTTAAGGACCTTATTAACTTTCTGACTGATTCCTGAGGAATCGCTTCTCACTCTTCAGCTAATGCAGTTTTTAGCTCCGCCGCTGGTACTGGATTACAAACCCGAAGTCTGCGTTTGAGTTCATCCCATAAGTGCTCAATGGGATTCATATCCGGACTCAATGGAGGCCAGTACATTGTTGTTATATTGGTGTTAATAGGTAATCCGCGCTGTGTGACATCAAGCGTTATCATGCATTAGCATAAAGCCATCGCTTATGTAGCGGGCATAAGGAACAACATGGTCTTAGGATTCCGTAATGTAATAATCCGCTATCAAACACCCTCTGCGACTACCACTCGAACTTTAACATCGAAAAAAATAAAGCAAAATAAATAGAATATCGTTTAGTTAGTATTTCTTTATTAACATTTACAAAACAAAAAAACTAACAACTAATTAACCTTGCTGTCCAGCAGGCATGCCGCCGCCCATACCACCTCCCATACCTCCGCTTGTACCTCCACTCATACCTTCTCCCATTCCGTGACCACCTCCCATGCCACCGGAAGGAGCCATGCCGCCTGATTGTGCCATGCCGGCGCCGCTTAGAGCAATACCCATTTGTGATTGTGCAGAATCCATCTGAAATAAATTAACATGCATTTGAATGCTTTACATTTTTTAGTAGATAAAGAGAGACTTTTTGTCATTTTTAAAAGAATAAATGTCTTTTTTAAAAAATCAATATTAACGACTAATAAGACGTAGTCTAACATCTGTTTTACAGTCTTTTCCGGTTTCACTGGCACGTTTTTTCCTGTGAAATCGAATAATTCAAATTTCTTCATTATTACAAATTAGAATTTGTATCAACTAAGGACAAAAAGATATCAATTTGAGACCATGATATTGTACTTAAAACGTATTTGTGTATTTGGTAAAATACTCCAGAGAAATAAAGTATTCCCATGATTTTGGCTCAATCAGATAGCTGACAATTTTTGAATTTAATTGATCTCGATAACGGAGAGATCTAAAAGGGATGCCGAAAGGGTAGTAAAAGACTATCCTACAATGCACATGGAATCCCATCCTCATCCGATGGCGTCTACTGTGCCAGAAAACACCATCAGGCAAATGTGTAACTTAGGTAAAAACACATCTAGCCTTGATGGCATACACAGAAGATGCCTAAAAACACTTCCAGAGTATTATCCCGCTGCTTACAAACATAATCAAAGCATGCCTCTCGTTTGAACTAGTTTCCTACTTCTTGGAAGCCAACACAGTCATGATTCCAAATCAGGAAAACCCCCAACCAGCACTAAATCCTATAGACCAGTCTCTCTACTTAGCACCCTACGAGAAGATCTTCAAGGAGAGACGTAGAATTCCTAGACGCACACTTTATAAATCGAAACTTCCAATTTGGATTCATAGTTGAACACTCCTCACAAAGTGCACCAATTGAAGCAGCAACGTTCATATCACAATCCATCAACGAAACAAATAGGTACATCATAGGCATCTCGACGTCTAAAAGACCTTTGATCAAGTTTGGCACACAAGCCTGATCGAAAAGCTCTACCTTGCTTGGCTGCCTACTTCCCTCGAAAAAATAATATATTCCTATCTCTCCAATCGGACAATCCGTGTCAGGGTCGCTAACCATTATCCATACTATTCACTTCATTCAGTCCCCCAGGGCTCAATTCTAGCACCAATATTATACACAGTCTACCACAGTGACATTTCCCACTCATTAACTAGATCAGGTCACTAGTATTTGCTGACGACACTCGAATCTCTGCAGAAATATACAATGGACGCTGAGACATGCGTCTGTATTCTAAAGAACACAAAAGCAATTGAACAGAATTGTTAGATGATGCAACAAATGGAGAGTCATACTCAATCCTTCCAAAATGCCAGGGAATTCTTTTCCAAAAATTGTTTAAACAATTTACAAAGTTATTTTATCATTAAATCCATTAAAAAACGGTATACTTGTAATACACTCAAAAGTAGTCAATGAAAACAAAATAAGAAAGCAATATTTTTCAAGATGATAGAAAAATAAACGTTCAAATAAAAAACAAGGATAAAAAATCGCAAAATCAAAACCTTTTTCGCAATCGCCAGGAAATTTTGACATTCCTGTCAAAATTTCTTGAAGAAAAAGTCAGGACTTCCTTACTGTAAGGAAATGTCATTTGCTTACTGTAAGGAAATGATATTTCCGTACAGTTGTTAGTGTTTCTACATAAATGATATCATTTTACTTTCGAGAACACTAGCAATTCAAATTTATAAGCGTCAATTTGACAATTCAACCTCAATACGTTTCCATAGTAACCCAAGTAATTTTATTAGGAAATTCAAAGCACCATTTATTTGGGAATAAAATTAACGCGTTTTTTTTAAATCAATCAATATCTGTCGAATCTTAAACGATTTGCTGAAAAATAGTATGTTTACCTAGTAGGAAAAGCACATTCCTGACTCTGTGTTGCTAAGTCTCGGCTTGGCCTCGACTTAGCAATCTTCACAGTCGTCCAGGAATGTTAAGCTTTTCTACCCGGTAAACAAAGTACTATTTTCTATCTTCCTGTAAAAAAATCTACTAACCTGTACAAATACTATTAGAGCTGCAAGCAAAACTGTAAATTTTATCATACTGGATATGATTATGCTTATGATGTTACTGGTATAAAGTTTAATGTATTTCTAGTGATAAATGTGAGTTTATATACAACAAAGTTTTGGTAATTATCTACGTCATTTTTTCTATTAAAGAATTAAATATTTGCAAAAAATTCAAAATTTAATGTCATCATTAAATAAAATCGTTCCAGGATGTAATGTGTTTTTAATTTGAATTATTTGCGATCTAAAATAGATTTAGAGAAATGTGGAGGAGTTTTTGGTTGTTTGTTATAAAAGGTACATAAAGTATGGTAAATAACTTTCATTTGCTGATTTCTGCGTTTCTATTGTCTTAATATTTTGATACGCAACTGATTCTTTTAGTGCTAGATAAGAGTCTCCTCCGTCTACTCGTATCTTTTGAACGTACTTATAATAGTGATATTTGGAGGGAGGAAATAAACGGACGTAGGCTTATCAACTAGTCATAACATGTGACGTAATAGTGAGAGATAACGTTAAAGAGTCACTGTGACCAATAATTTTAAATGATCGTCTTCAAATTGGAGAACCGTCTCTTGCCGTCTTTATTACTCTATTAGTTCTATTTCCTATCCAGTCCTTGATGTTCTCCACCCTCCATCTACGTCGTATATCTGTATTTCTAGCTCTGTCCCATAATGTTTTATCATCAATTTTTCATCTCTGCTGTTTGTAACATCCTTTTTGTCCTCTCTGTGTTAGGTCGTGTTGCTGCCACGTATTTTTTTTATGGATATACGCTCATTTATAATTTTAGATGAATTAATTCTGTGTATGGATTCATATACAAACTGCCTTCAATAAAATGGTGAAGTAGCAAGTATCCTTTCTTTTATTAAGACCGATAACGCTAATATATCACAGTGAACTTTTTTTTTAAAGCCCTTTTCTCTATTCGGATTGCCGAACATAGGCCTCTCCTAATTCTCGCCATTCATCCCTGTTGTTTGTAAGACGTTTCCACATTGGCCCTGCAGTTCTTTTAATATCGTCGCTTCATCGCATTTGCGGTTTTCCTCGTGGTGTAATATCCTCGATATGGACCTTAAGGATGCTTATCCCTGCGAGCGGCTGCAAGGCTACTGGTCCCACTGGTCTGGAATGACTGGCTCGCCTTCGTGGATTTACGAGAAGGTAGAGAAGTTTCGGGATAGGGATTTAAGGCTTCTAGGTCTCAGGTCCTGTAAAGAGTTTGAGTCTATGGGCTTACTTTAGAAGCCGGATAAATGTATAAGCCGAAATTGGTACTCTCCTGGTCTCTGTCTGAATCGGCCGGAAGGAACATAAAAACCAAATTTACAGTCTATAAATGCATTGAATATACTATGTGGTTTACAATTAAGTTAACAAGCTGTCAGATATAATCATTAATAACTCGTTCGGCGCGAAGGGAGACGAGAAGAGATCTTAGCAAGAAAGTAAAGGGTGACAATCTGTACTACTATAATTTACTCGGGTTATTATATGGAATTGTGTTGCCTTTCGCGTATTTAGGCTCTAGCTAATGTTACGCCCTTTAGTTCCTTTGGAAATCGGATTTCTTTCAGTACCCGACACTCATACGGAACTATATCCCGTCGAAATATAACAATCGCGCGTAATCCGCACCTGGTGTCGCCTCTCGCCTTGACAGCCCCGCCCAAAGATACTGACTGACTGCGTACTGGACGCTATCGCGTCCGAGCGCCCACGGAGCTGGCAATTAATGCATTGAGCGCTCCCTCGATACTACTCTCCGACCCGAAGCCGGCAATCACTGCATGAGCGGGCAGCCACGGTGCCCAGCTATTACTGACTGACCGGGCCTCCTCCGTTCATTTTGTTTTTATTGAGCTCGTATTCTCAAATGCCGATTGTAGTACCAAAGTTGAGTTTTTGCTGAGTCCTCATGATTTAAACCAGTCGGCGCTGGTGATATTTTCCAGCGTAGGTCTATGTTTATTAAAACGTGACTATTTTCTTTTTTTGAACAATTGTTGCAACTGATACTGGCTCGTGTCATGCAACTAACTGGGTCAAATTGTTTTTCTTTGTTGTTGTTGGGGTTGTTCAAAACCCCAACTGTAGGTTTTCTGATTCCTGCGGACTATCTTTAAGTTCTAATAATCGTATATTTCTGTTGAATCCTCTTGAATTTCCCCTATGTGTTTGATTATTGAATTTTCTGAACCCTTTTTGTTCATGTGGACGGTGATCTCATTTTACATCATTTTTTTGAAAAAAATTTGGTCTTCTCCACTGGTCATATCGATTATGATATCCTCTATTGTGCTGAAATTTCCCTCTTTGTTAAAGTACATTCCATAATTTAACACTCTTTCATGCAAGTTGTCTTCTGTTGTGTCTATTGATAAGAATTTTGACATTACCTCTTATGAGGTTGTAAAACTGCCTGCCTCTAATATTAGCTCGTCATTGTCTGTGCTGGCTTTACGTTTCATTGTAGCCACTACTGCCTCTGTTATGTATTTCTTAGCCAAATCTCCTGGCATTTCCTCTGTTATGGATGCCATTTTTAGTTGTTCGGCTAGTGCCTCAACCTCAGATGCGTACACAGCTGCATCTCTATGTCCTTGTTTCCCTTTGTCGAGTTTAGCTATCACCATTTTCGGCGTGTCACCTTTTAGTTCTCTCTTTTCAATGTTGCCTGTATATCTGAAATAGTGTCTTCTGTGGTTATTAAGTTTCTGGCTTTATTTGTTAATCTTTATTTCAAATCCTTTATAAAAGGTATATAATAAAATGCCCAAACGGGCTATCACAATTACATTACAAAACGTTTTCGGATTGTTAAATCCATCATCAGTGTAAACGAGGTATACATAGCATGTAGATGAGACTATCAGGCATCGTTGGCATGTATTTAACAAGGCGGTTGTGATAAGATGCATTATCCAATACTATGAGAGAGTTGCTATGTGCACACTGGAGAATGTTCTCGAATCATATGGAGTTCATGTCTTCATAATAGTCCCCAGTTTTCTTCGATATAAAAATAAGAACACAAGAAGAAAAGCGATATCCCCGGAAGGACAGCAGGAAAATGGAAAGGAGAAATTAAAGTATTTGTGCTACCATTGAGGTGGATAAGTCAAGAACCACTAAAAATTTCACGAGGAGTTGGAGGTCTCGCATACCACAGTTAATAAAGAAATATGGCTTTAAGAGTATTAAATATTTAAAATCTCAGAAGTTATTTCCCAGAGATCAATTTCGTAGAATGGAGTTTTGTAGTTTTCGTAGAAAGCTGCAATGAATGCTTCTCGCAAAATTGATAATTTTATGAAAAAAATCTTTTCACTGATGAATCGTCATTTTCAGTACGGAGTCATCACAAACCTTCAGAACGCGTTATTGTTCTCAGGAAAATGAACATCGTAGTATTGTGCATTAGAGTAAACGTCCTCAAAAACTTAATGTGTGGACCGCCAATTTAGGTGAAGTTTAGAAAACTTTCCAAACTTCCACAAAATTTATTTTAAACTAATATCACTACAGCATGTTTCTGGTATTTTTGGCTACTGGCTATGTTTGGCATGCGTTTACACTTTACAGTGCTCTAATGAAATAGGTTGAGAGGGGAGAAAACAAAGTTTTCAGTGTTTTATTGTTAGCTAAATATGTTGTTCTTTTACCAGATAACATTACTCAAGCTATTCAGAATCTCCCAGATCACACATGTAGATTTAGAAGATGTCTGGTTTCAACAGGATGGTTTTTCTGTAGATAATGCGCGTATCGTGAAAAATTATTTAAACACAATTTTCAGGATTGCATTATAAGCGGAACAAGCCAAATTAAAGGGTCTGAGAGATTTCCCGATTTGACTTCCATGAATTTCTTTTGCTTAGGACATATTAAATCCACCATCTATGGCAACGATCTCGAGGGGTACATAATCTAGTTGATTTAGAAAATAAAATAGGAAATGCATATGCTACGATTATGCCACAACAGCTTGCAAACGTAAGACAAGGATTTTATAATAGACTAGGTTATTGTCTTGCAAAACAAGGTGGTATATTTGAACCTTTTATTGAGTTTACCTTTTATTTTGTACAGTAGAATGTATTGCATATTGAAGACGAACGTATTGAAAGAGTACACCGATTTAAATATCTGGGATATACAGTAAATGACAAGTGGGACCCAGAAGTAGAGATTAAGATCCAAATTGAAATAGCAAGATCCAAATTCATCAAAATGAGAAAGCTCTTAAGCAACCGCAACCTAAGCATTAACCTCCGATGGCGCGCCACGAAATACTACGTACTCTCTACGCTACTTTACGGCGTAGAAGGGTGGACGTTAACAGCAGCAACTATAAAGAAGTTAGCGGCTCTTGAAATGTGGCTGTATCGACGCATACTGAGAATACCTTGGACAGACAGAGTGACCAACACAGAGGTATTAAGACGAATGGGTAAAGAGGTGGAATTGTTAACAACTGTTAAAAGGAGGAAAGCGTCATACTGGGCCATGTGTTCCGTAATGATAAAGTACAGTCTGCTACAGCTTATCGTGGAAGGCAAGATTGAAGGTAGAAGAGGTTTGGGCAGAAAGAAGAAATCCTGGCTGAGAAACTTGAGAGAATGGTTTCAAATACCAGAAGCTGCGAACATAATTCATGCGGCACAAAACAGAGAAACCTATCGTATGATGGTCGCCAACCTTCGGTAGAAGACGGCACATAAAGAAGAAGAAGAATGTATTGGTTTTTTGTATAAATGTATATGAATGTATATAAATTTTTACCAAATTATTACCGCGATTAAATTCAAAACAAGATATTTACTCGTTAAAATATTATTTAAAGGAAAAAAAAAACAAAATAAACAAAATATTGTTTAATTGGTATTTTTTTATTAACATTTAAATAACAAATAATTCAACTTATTAACCTTGCTGTCCAGAAGGCATACCGCCGCTCATACCACCTCCCATACCGCCGCTCGAGCCGCCATTCATACCTCCTCCCATCCCACCGTTCGAACCACCTCCCATGCCACCGGAAGGTGGCATACCTCCTGATTGTTGCATACCCATGCCGCCTTGGGAGTTACTCATTTGTGATTGTGCAGAATTTATCTGAAACGAATACAACAAATAGTAATGAATAATAGTAAAAGGACTTGAATTATAACAAATTCAATACGGTGCAGATGTTTTACATTTTTTTGTTGCAAAATTTAAAATGTAAGGTATATGAGATCAAAATGTTTTGTCAGAAAAAATACATTCTGGGAAAAAATGGAAAAAACAGAAATGCCGCTGTAGAATTAAGGGTGATTCTTAATCGAGAGTCTTCAATTTCAGGTTTGTTCATTTTTAAAGTTCAAATGTTTGAAGGAAATTCAACAGTGAGGATTATATTTTATTATAATTTGCTTATTTTAAGTTATCTTCGGTTTTGGATCTAGAATTCTTTTTTCTTGCATATACATTGGTATGCTACTCCATTAAGACCTTTATCTTTCATTTAGAACATCAATGATTCTTTTTTGGCTATGCTGTATTATAATAATTAGTTTAAAGAAAATTGCTGCAACCGGAATTGGTATATTAGGTCTTTTTTTCCTTTGAAACTTTTTGTTTTTATGTTTTTTGCTACATTCTTCTTCTTCTTTTATATCGACATGACTCTGTCTTTTTTTCAATGTGCCTCCAGTAAGTTGTCATTCCATCGTTTTCGTGGTCTTCCTACTGATCGTCTTCCTATTGGAGAACCGTCTCTTGCCGTCTTTACTACTCTATTTGTTGTCATTCGGCTTATATGATCGTTCCATTCTACTCTTCTATTTCTTACCCAGTTTTTGATGTTCTCCACCTTGCATCTATGTTATATCTGTACTTCTAGCTCTGTCCCATAGTGTCTTACCATCAATTTTTCATCTCTGCTGTTTCTAACATCCTTTTTGTCCTCTCTGTGTCAGGTCTTGTTTCTGCCGCGTATGTCATTATTGGTCTGATGACTGTTTTGTAAATTCTGTCTTTCGTTTCTTTCCCGATATTTTCATTTCTCCATATTGTTTCATTTAGGCACCTGCGGCTCTGTTTGCTCTATTCACTTGATCTTCCACTTCGGTTTCGAGCTTTCCGTAGCTAGATAATGTGATGCCTAGATATTTAAACTCCATCACTTGTTCTATTATCTGACCTCCCAGCTCCAATTTACATCTTAGTAAATTTACTGTTGTAACCATGCATTTTGTCTTTTGTTGGTAAATTAACATGTTAAATTTTTCTGGCGGTTATATTAAATTGGTGCAGCATACGTTGTAAATCATCTTCACTTTGAGCAGTAGTATTGCGTCATCTGCATAGCAGATTATTTTAAGTTGTTTTTCTCCCATTTGGTATCCTTTTTTGTTCTTACTTTTTTTATTATTTCATCCAGAATCAGGTTGAACAATAGAGGGCTCAGAGAATCTCCTGTCTTATCCCATTTCCAGCTTCAATAGGGTCGGTTAGTTCTTCTTCTACTTTTAGTTTTATTGTGTTGTTTTGGTAGATATTTTCGATCGTTTTGATTATTCCTAGGGGTATCTCTCTTGCATACAGTAAACGGATAATGTCTTTTAATTTGACCCGGTCAAATACCTTTGTAAGGTCCACGAAACATAGATATGCCGGTTTGTTGTATTCTAATGATTTCTCTTGCACTTGCCTCATTATAAATATAGCGCCGGTGCATGATCTTCCCGACCTAAAACCTTGTTGTTCTTCTGCTAGTGTTATAATTTCATTCATCTACATTGAAAATTCATATTCGTTATTTTCTTAAAATCCCAAAAATGTTGTGAATTTTTGGACAACATTAATTTTCTTCAAATTTTTGTCTATTTAGACATATTTACTATGTAAGTAAGTTTTGTATCCAGAAAGGACACATTATGGATTTTTATGTGCATTTTAGATCATTTTTTATGATTTAGCATCTGTTGACCATTTCTCGACGTCACATAATACATTTTTTGTTGTGAAATCCAATAGTTGCAACTTCTGCATTATACAGAGATCAATTTAACATGTTTGCAACACTATTATACATAAAACCTTTGTATTTATCTGCTCTAAAAAATTACTTAGCGTCTTACTTTGTTCTCTAATTAAAATATAGATAAATTGATATGTCAAAGAACAATTAATTGTTAAAAAGAAAATAGAGGAAGAGTTACTTTTAAAGAAGAAAAGCAAAATAAAAACTGGAACCAAAAATATAGCAAAAAATCAAAATGGATTTCAAGAAGAAAGAATAAAAAAGATTTTTTCTGTATTTTCGTTTAAAAAAAAATTAACCAACCTGTACAAATACCATTAGGACTGCAACCAAAACTGCAAATTTCATCATATTGGATATATTGTTTATTGATGTTACTGGTGAAAAGTTTAATGTATTTCTAGTAATACAGTTGAGTTTATATATAGATAAATTTTGGTAATTACTTATGTCATACTTTACTATTAAATAATTGCAAAAATTTGATAATTGTAATTATAGTACTGACGCTTAAAGGTGATGATTAAATACAAACTTTACAGGATGTAATATAATTTTATTAATTTGTTTTTGCAATCTAATATAGATTTAGGGATATTTGCTAGATATATTGCGTAATAAAGCACGTGTGTTTGGTTATCGATCAAAAAGGCTGCAGAAAATATGAAAAAATTTTGAAATTTGTATGTGAGGTTATTTTTCTCTATCTTCTGCTGCTATTTTGGTAGCAATATGTTTATTTTAATAGTAGATCGAAATGATTGGAATCTGTTCAACCCAAACGAAAGATTACTACCACTGAAGTGGTTGCCCAAGCCAATAAAAACCTCAAAATAATAAACCACCAGGAACTGATCAAATTTCAGGGTGAGCTCTACAAGAATGGTAACCACGCCCTGCTACAAGCACTGTATAAAGTTTTTCTTCTTGTCTGGCAAAATGAGACCATGCCTTATGAATGGTCTCAAGGCGTGATATGACCGTTACATAAAAAAGAAGAACGTTTCAGTGTGACAACTACAAAGGTATAACCGTGTTAACAACTTCTTACAAAATACTAGCAAATATTCTCTCCGAAAGACTACAAGTTTACACAGTTGATATAGTTGGACAAACTCAGGTCCGTTTACTTCAGAAAAATCAACAATTCACCAGATTCATTCAATAAGACAGATCCTCAATTCATTCAATGAAGAAGGATTCAATAAAACTTATCCGATTAACGAAAATAACAATGTCTAACTTTAAAGCCAGCGTTAGGATACAGGAAGAAAATTCTCGATCCTTTGAGGCAAAAAATGGACCTAGACAAGGATGCCCTGGCTTTCCTCCTATTTAACATTCTTTAAAATAAGGCAGTCCGAGACACACGAATTAGAGACGGCGGTACTATTTATAATAGATCGATACAAATCTTAGCATACGCTGATGACATTGAAATATTGACGTAGCAAGCGAGATGTTGAGCAATATTACTAGAATTGGAAACGGCGGCGAAACAGGTCGATCTAGTCATCAATGAAGACAAAACCAACTACATGTTGCTTACTAAGGATCATATAGCAAATGAGGAACGGAAAGTCTTATCTTTGAACGTATTGGCAGCTTCACATACCTTGGCTCGATAGTGACTACTACCAATAAAACAAGCGAAGAAATTAAAAGACGATTAAACCTTACAAATGGCGTTAGATACTGTTTGTGTAGAAATATTCTAAACAATCTCCTTTAAAAGTATTGTTGTAGGGCCGCCAAAGACTCCGTTGCAGTATTTGCTTAAAAATATTTTATTATCTTTTAAAGAATATTTTAACGATATGACATTATAATAATTTTTTTATTAATATGCTTTCTTGAAATCTATAAATACACAAGAGTTTGTGGTTTTGTGCCATTTTCTTTTCCATTACTTTATAGACAGTGTCTATTTGGTCGATATAGATACACACTTTAATAATGCTTAAAATTCCATGGAGTAGGGCTTCTAGAATGCTTTATTGCTGCAACAATATTTAAATAGGAGAAACAAGTACTTGGGGATATGGATAACTCATAATAGAGAACAATTTCAAGAGACTGAAATCGCTAAAGTCGAATTGAAATCGCTAAAGCCAAAATTTATCAATTATAAAGAAGGTAATCTGCAATGAAAATCTAAAGATTCTGTAATAATAGATCTTATATTTAAGGAGTTTTCAGTTTTCAGTTTTCTTTTAAGTATAAGGATTTTTTTTTATTGATTCAGATACGAATCAAATACAAACGAAACAATGAAATGATAGTCTTTTATTAAAATTCATTACTACTGCAGCCAAACAAATCTTTTAAAATTATCAAACCCTCAGTAAAATCTTTAAAACTCCACCATGGTGGGATGATGAATGTCTCACAGTTTCGAATGCAAGGAAAAATTCTTTTAAAATGTATAAAATCCAATCTTACCCTTTCAAACTTTATTGAATATAAGAGGAATGAAGCTATGTGTAAACGCACATTCCGCTCAAAAGCCAAATCTAGTTGGGCTCGATATTGTTCCTGGACTTAGTAGGCAAACTCACCCTCAGACTTTGGAAAAGGCTAAACAAAATTCAAGGTAAGAAACAATTACACCGTAATAATGAAGACATGTAGAAAGTCTTTTTAGAAAAATTCTCTCCAGATTATGTCCATCTAACCAGTATTTATGCCGAGTATCTCCACTAATGATCACTTTTTACTAACCCCATTTCAGCGACGAACTTAATCAAATATTAAAGAGTTCTAAAAATACAGCTCCTGGTATTGACAGCATTAATCTACAGCATGCTTATAAACCTGCCATAATTGCCATACATTATCTGTGGCAAATATACAACAATATTTTACTTAAAGGAGACAACTGTGGATTCTCTTAAACAATGTTTGGTTATTCCTATACCCAAAGTAAATCAGCGTACTGCCCTAAGACCTATCTCTCTATGTCTTTTTGCTTAAACATTTGATTTGAATTTATGAAAAGCAGATTAGAATGGTGAAAACTAGATTTTTTAAGATTATTCAGATTCTTTAATTGAATGCAAAAGTGTACTCTTGCAATTATATAAATTGCTTACTCAATAAATCGTGTTTTAAAAATCAGTACCACTTTACATTTCAAGTATATGTTCCAAAATAATTAAACAATTATCCGATATTTGTATAACACACAATCTTGATCTAAATTAGTTTAAATAATATTTTATATAGTGTAATAATAATCCTTTTTGATCACTTTCTGATACATAAAGTTCGAATTAATTATTCTCATCACATCCTAGACTTCACATATATTTTGAGAACGTCGGAAATCTTCTTCTTCTTCAGCCTGTGTTCGTCCACTGCTGGACATAGGCCTCTTCCATTTGCTTCCATCGATTTCTACTTTTGGCAATTCTCATCCACTGCTTGCCCGCGACTTGTTTGATATCGTCTGTCCACCTCTTCTGCGGTCTGCCTACTCCTCGCCTGTTCTCTCTTGGTCTCCAGTTTGTTAATCTTTGTGTCCATTTTTCGGGATTATCTCGGGCAACGTGTCCGACCCATTGCCACTTGAGCCTTGCAATACGTTCTGAGACATCAGTAATTTTTGTTCTTTCACGAATGACGTTATTTCGAATCCTGTCTCTCAAACTAATCCCTAGCATGGCCCTCTCCATTGCTCTTTGTGGTTGTACTGAGCTGCTCTAAGGTTTTCTTTGTGAAGCCATGGTCTCCAGTCCATATGTAGTTACAGGCAAGATACATTTGTCATAAACTCTACGTTTTAGACACATTGGTATATCTTTATTCTTCAAAATAAAGCTTAATTTGCCGAAAGCTCCCCAAGACAGTTGTATGCGTCTTTTTATTTCGGCTATTTGATTTTCTTTGCCGATTTTAATGGTATGTCCAAGATATATATAGTGGTCTACATTTTCAAGACTGACGTTGTCAATAACAAGATTAGTTTGTAAATTACTCATTATTTTTGTTTTCTGAAGGTTCATTTTGAGACCTATTTTATTTGACTGCTGGTTAATTCCTTCAACATTTGCTCCAGTTCCTTGATATCTGTACTAAATAATACTATGTCATCCGCAAACCTCAAATGACTCAAACGTACACCATCAATGTTTAGACCTTTTTCCTCCCAGTCAAGCTGTTTGAATACATTTTCCAATGCTAAGGTAAAAAGCTTTGGTGAAATAGTATCACCTTGTCTAATACCTTTATCAAGGCGCATTTTTTTTTCAGTTTTTTTCGTCTTCATTGATTTTGATGTGGAATGTGGCCTGTTCATAAATGTTTTTAATGAGTGTAGTGTACCGTGAGTCTATTCGAGCATCCTTCAGGGCTGACAAAAAGGACCAAGTCTCAATACTATCGAAAGCCTTGTGAAAGTCGATAAATGCCATATGTAAAGGTACATTATATTCTGTGGTTTTTTCTACCAGTGTTCTGATGGTTTGTAAGTGATCATTAGCACCAACCCTTTTCTAAATCCCGCCTGTTCAACCAGTTGATATAAATCAAGTTTTTGTGTTATGCGGTTGGTTTTATTCTTGTTAACAATTTGTATAAGTGTCGGAAATCTAAACGTCAAATATAACGCGTTATTAAATACAATTGTGGTTTATTCCCATTAAATATTCTAGATAATCTTACAATACCCTTATTATAGTAATATTTCCTAGTACAACTATGTCGTGAGCTTTAATGAGGGATGATTTAGCTGGGGTCTAGATAGTAAAACTCGATTGGAATGGATTTAGACTAAGTTGTATAAGCAATTGTACATGATGGTAAGGTTAGTATGCGAGCTCAGTTTGTGGAATGGCGGAGAGAATCGAAGAGTAATAGTGGCTTCCCACGATCGGCGAATCTACAGATCATCGCGGACGCCGATCAGCACTGGACGGCAACGCACACGCAGACAGAGCTCTTCCTACGGTTGTGACAGTCTGTGTAGGTCCGTGACAGTCGTGTTGATTATAATCCATAAAAAGCCACTCAGGCTTGTAAACATCATCAGCCCCACTACCCAGTTTCCATCGATTCTCTAACTTTTGTTTTTTGCTTCTGTATGTCGACATTAAATTATCTCTCTTCTTTTTTAACATCTTTAATCGAAATATACTATTGTTTAATTGATTTTATATTCGGTTCCATGTATCGTTCCGGTTTTTTATGCTCTAGCGCCGTGGAAATTCCATAAACTGGTTCAATTTGATACAAATTAAAAAACAAAATAACTTCGTTTGTCCATTCTATTTTTAGCAAAAAAGTGCAAAACAACTTTGACAACACTACAGACACACTACTCGTGAGAGCGAATGAAAAACTTCTGACTATGCATTTGTCGTCTGTTAAAACAAAGACGAGCTAGGATCGAGTCGCACTAGCATGTACCGCACCTTTGATGTTTACGACTCTAGATGGATAGAACGCACCAGAACAGACGTGCCTGTGCTACCACGACGATACCTGATACCTTTCCCACGGTGCGTGGTGCGGGCTGGTCCTCTTACGTCCGCAATATCGCCGACCGTGGGAAGACACTATTACAAAGGACGTGTATGGCAAGCGAAGCGGCACTAACGCAGCAGCCAGTCTAAAAAATGCCGCATTAGATGTTTCACATCAAAAATGTAAAAGTCGCAATACACACTAAAAAAATTTCCTAAAATATTCCTCAGTTAATTTATATTTTAATTTCAGGAATCTACGTTTATTTTCCCAAATCCTTTGGACCAAATGTTTACACGACCATGTATATGGGTCATTATTCGTAGACGACCTCCCTTTCCGACGTTAGCGCCGAATGTTACAAGTAAGTATTTTTATAAATATTTATTTTTTTTACATTCTCGTATACTCCTTAATTTGCTAACGATATTTTTGTTTTTGCGGATAGTAGATAATAGTAACAGTTAAAAAAATTTACCATACAATATATATATATATATATATATATATATATATATATATATATATATATATATATATATTCCATATAATACCCAAGCCCAAGCAGCTTTTGCTAGAAGATTTAATCTCCAGAATATACTCCAATGAATTTTTGGTTTTAGTTCCAGCCCAGCCTCCATCCCCTTCTGCCCCAGGAACAGTAGCACAAACCACAATAGCTACCAATCAAGCTCAGGCTAACCCTGCAACGATGGCTACAACAACTGCAGCAACCGCCGCTCCTGCTGCTGAAACAACAACAACGGTTGTTGCCGAAACGACAGCGGCTCCAGCAGCATCGACAATGGCAATGGAGGTTTCAACAGCAGCCGAAACTACAACCGCTGCAGCATCTACAACGATTGCCGAATCAACTACAGCTGCTCCTGAAGCTGCAGAAACCACAACAGTAGCATCAAAATAATTTGAATAAATTTAAAAAATGAACTAGATGTTTTATTTTTCGTTTTTAAGAATATATTTTAGTTAAGTAAGTTTTTTCAGTTTACTTTTGAAGTTAGGATCGCAATAGTTAAAGTAAACTACTCAAAACAAAAACAAACAAAACTTAAAAATAGGCCGTATTCATATATACCAAAGGCGTTCCTACCAGCCATATTTATTTTTGCTTGCATCTGTGAAGTTTTTGTGGCCAACGTTCGTCGGGCATTCTCAATAGGTGTCCAAACCATTTTAAAGCTCTTCTTTCTATGCTGTCAAAGACCATTTCTGTAGCATTCATGAATTTTCTCATAGATTTCGTTGCTCTTTCTTTCCAGCCTTGATGTTCTAGCACTTCTTCTCAAATATTCCATTTCGACTGCCAACAATCTTCTCTTCAGGTCTGCATTAAATTGCCCATTACTTCAGAGCCATAACAAAGAACTGATTCAACCATGGTTTCCCTATTCGTTTTTTGTTTCTTTTGGAAATGTTGCGATCACTGGTATATTACCAACTGATTTGTTAAAGTCGACATTTGTCACAATACCTAAGAAACATCGTCCAAAGACATGCGGTGATTATTGACAATAAGTCTGATGAGTCACGTTTTGAAAATCTTTCTGCGAGTACTACACAGCAGAATTTACACGCTGTTAGAGGACAGAATTAGCAATACTCAATTTGGGTTTAGGAGTGGCTTGGGTACAAGAGAAAGCCTTGTTTAGTATACAGCTGCTAGTACAGAGATGCAGAGATATAAATCAAAATGTGTATATTTGTGCAATCGATTTTGAAAAAGCTTTTGACAAAGTCCGACATAACAAAATGCTAGAAATATTGGAAACAGCTGGATGGGACGATAAAGATCTACGAATAATTACAAATCTATACTGGCATCAAGTGCAAGAATAAAGGTTAAACAAGAACTGTCGGATGAAATAAATATAAAAGAGGAGTGAGACAAGGCTGTATATTGTCGCCGTTACTTTTTAAATTTATATTCGGAGGAAATATTTAAGGAAGCCTTAATGGAGACAACCGAAGGTATTATTGTGAATGGAGTGACCGTCAACAATACTAGATATGCCGAACGATACCTTAGTCCTTGCCAATTGCGGAGAAGACCTTCAAAATCTAATGACTAAAATAAAACAGACTTGTGATCAGTATGGATTAAAACTCAACGTTAAGAAAACTAAATATATGATAGTTAGCAAACCAAATTATATACATGATGACGTATAAAAGTCGGAATGCCACACTGGACAGAGTAGAGAAACTCGTGTATATCGGCAGAATAGTGCCAAATTAATGAAATTCTACTGTAAAACTTTGCACCTCTTCTTCTTCTTCTTTGTCAATCATTTTCCATCCACTCCAGAATTTATGTCTCTCCCAATTGCTTCCATCTTCCTCTATCTTGCGCCAATCTAATCCACTGTTTGCTGCACTGCTCTTATGTCATCTACCCATCTTTTTTGAGGTCTTCCCATGCTTCTTGTTATCGTCCTTGGTCTCCATTCTAGAATTCTCCGTGTCCACCTGTTGTCATTATAGTGGGCTACGTGACCCGCCCAGCGCCATTTTATTTTTGTAATTTCTTCACAATATCCCTAATCTTCGTTCTACGTCTTATCTCGGTGTTTCTAATCTTATCTCTTAGTGATATTTCAAGCATGATTCGTTCCATTGCTTTTTGCGTTGTTTCTAATTTTTTAGCAGATTTTTTGGTAAGGGCTACTGTATTCAAGCCGTAGGTACAAACTGGTAGTATGCATGTGTTATACACCTTTTTCTTTAAGTTTATAGGAATGGAGGTGTTTTTCAAGATATGTGCAAGTTTGCCGAAAGCACCCCATGCCAGTTTGTGTTCTTCTTTTAATTTCAGCATCTTGATTTGGTTTTCCTAGTTTGATAACATGACCTCGATATACATAATGTTCAACATTTCAGCATCTTGATTTGGTTTTCTAGTTGATTACATGACCTAGATATACATAATGTTCAACATTTTCTTATGGTATGATTTCGTATTGTTATATTTGTCTGGTCCATGGACGTATAAATCTGGTCTCGGCTCAGTATTTTTTGTTTTGCTGTAGTTCATTTTAAGCCTACCGCCTCTGAAACTGCATTTAATTTAACTTTGCATCTTAGACCCGAGTATTCTCATAAAATAAATAATAAAAAACAATAACACATCAATAACATTTATTATTCATTTATAACAGATGCTTTGTACATTTAATTATAATTAGCCTTGGCTTCCTCCAGAACTGCCGCTAGAGCCACCACCCATTCCGCCGCTCATTCCGCCACTCATGCCACCGCTACCACCACCGCCCATACCACCAGTTGGTGGTGGACCCATACCGCCACCTTGGCCACCTTGAGACCCCTGAGATCCTTGAGCCACTCCAGATGCCACCTAAAATGAAATCATAATTTCTTATAACAATTATTAAATAGAATTTTATGTGTAGAAAACAAGCATCATGGCTGAAGAACATTCGCCAATGAACTGGTACCTACAGTATCGGCAAAATTTTTAAACATACTTTGGATCGAGAAGATTTTGCTCTTTTTTGTAAATAAAAAGTAACATCAGATTGGAAATGGAAATGGAACTCCAAAAAAACAAAGACCATATAGAACATGAGACTCGAACAAAGAGAAATATGTTATTTTGGAAGATGCTAAATTAATTTTTTGTGAAACACATCCTATTGCATAGCAGGCTGAGATAGTTTCTTACTTAACAAATCTATATGAAGAAACTATTTAAGGTTGCTGTCTATAAAAATGCCTAGATAATATAAGATAATGCATAGAAGTCGACCAGGGATTTATTTTAAGTAGATCAGAAGTTATAGTTGCATTTAGAGTTGCAATATTAGAGTTAATAGAAAAAGAACAAATTTTCCATCGATTTTTGGGTTAGTGATATCATTTATAAAGATAAGGAAAAGTTAGAGGATCCAGTACTGAATCTTGTGGTACTCCACATACAATGCTTTTGTGACTAGAGTCAGTATCATTTGCTCTAACTAGTTGTTTCCTATTCCCATCGAGCAAAAAGACAAAAGATGGAATGTTAAGGTAGCGGGGGCAAAAATATTGTTAGACGAGAAGTGCTATTTGGAGAGGCCACATTAAACAAGGAAAGAGAGTCTTTCCTTGTTTAAGAAATCAAATTTAGTTGGGTTATGTTATTGTTTGTTCCAACTGTCATATGAAATCTTATTTATATTAAAGTTTTTTAACAATTGTGTGACATTTTAGACTGTTATCGATAATATTTAATTAAAACTTTCTCGTCTAAGACACATTCTGAAAATTATTATATAGCTACTGTTAATAAGTGTCGAAAAATTTAAATTTGGCTCATTCGCATTTCGGATATGTCCGCCATCAGAGGCCACTTTTTTGGTCTCCTTTTCATAACTATTAGATTCCCTCTTTTGTCTTTTTGCTCGATGCCTATTCCTCAAGTAAGATTGGAATCAATTCAAAGAAATACCTGGAAGTTCGTGAGAAATTTAATTTTTTTTATCAAAATGTCTTGAATTGCACAATCAAACAAGCTTTGGCATGTTACAAAAAACAGTGGCAGTGTAAAGATTGTTTAGTGCTTGATAGACCTCATGTAGTAAAGAAAACATAGCATCACTGGTACATTTATTAGATAAAAAGCCGAACTGACTTTTATGATAAAATAATGTTGTCAACGAGGAAGGACATAAGTCGTACTTTTGTAAGTCTCTCAATAACCCTGGATAGAACCGGTAGTACGGCAATAGGTCTGTAGTTGCACACATTCGATTTTTATATAGGAATATAGCCTGGCCTGGAATATGGCCTCTCCTAATTCTCGCCATTCATCTCTATTGTTTGTAAGACGCTTAAACATTGGCCCTGCAGTTCTTTTAATATCGTTGCTCCTTCACATTTGCGGTCTTCCTCGTGGTCTTTTAGCTTCATATAGCCGCCAATTCCTGATTTCTTTTTTCCATAGGCCATCCGTACGGCGTTCCTTCGTCTAGCCCATTTCCATTTCAGTTTAGCTGCCTGTTCGACAGCATCTTTTACTTTTGTTCTATTACGGATGTCTTCATTGGTTTTCTGGTCTTTGAGTGAGATACCCAGCATCTGTCTTTCCATAGCTCTCTGAGTTTTTCTGATCTTCTCCATGTTTATTTTAGTGAATGTCCAGATTTGAGCTCCATATATAAGCACAGGTAGGATACAAAACTTAAACATTTTGGTTCGCAGTCTTCGGGGTATATTATAAGTACGTATGAGAGTCTTCCGAATGCTGCCCATCCCATTTTTACATGTCTGCTTATTTCGGTAGTCTGATTTTCTTTGCTTACATTGACATTTTGACCCAGATTTACTTAAAGATATCTTCTAGGGCAGCTGTAAATAATTTTGGAGATATTGTGTCTCTTTGTCTTACTCCTCGGTTGATTTTTACTGGTCTTATTTCGATTCCATTACCCAATGTCAATATCATTTTAGCTTGTTCGCAAATATTATGTATTAGTATTCTGTACCTGGAGTCGATCCGGTTGTTGACTAATGCTTCTTCTGTTAACCACAATTCTACGCTGTCAAAAGCTTTTTCATAATCTATAAAAACCAGACATAATGGGAGATTGTATTCGTTAGTCTTTTCTATTTGGATTTTTGAAGTGTATAGATGATCACAGGTGCTATACCCTTTTCTAAATCCGGCTTGTTCTACTGGTTGATATCCGTCAAATTGAATTGTTAACCTGTGATGTCTCCCTTTTTGTGTATTAGTATTATTACGATTTTAAATATTATGGCGTTTAAAACTGTAAATATATTATGACTAATTCTGTTTTTGTTCCAGTCATTTCGACGGTTGTTTACAGAAACCTCTAGACCCCAATTTTGATGAGTCATCCACGACTCGAGGTTTTTCAAGCAGTTGAAAAACTAGTTTCAGCCGTTGAATCGCCTTCTAGTATCTTCACCGCAATACCCGTCTAATCGGAAGGATTCTCCAGATGTTTCTAGTCTAGCGGTGTTGAATATAAATAACGGGGGATTTTCATTGAGCAGTCAATAAGAAGATAAATTCGGCCCGCGTATTTGAATGTACGTATGTAATAAATAGTTGTACAGTTATTTAATAAATTGATAATAAATTATCGTGAGTTTTAATAAATTAGAATAAAGACAATAAATTAGAACAATAAAAAATATAACAGTATTGTTTTAGCAGTATTCCATTGTTCGGGTACGTTGCCTTGGAATAGACATTTATTAAATAATATTTTTAGATATTTGATGACCTCTTCCCGCCTTCCTTCAGAATTTCTACTAGAATTCCATCGCTTCTAGGAGCTTTATTCCTTTTTATTTCTTTTACTGCTCTTTCTATTTCTTCGTGGCTTATTTCGGGCATCACTTCTGAGTTGATATTTATTATCTGCCGTTTTAAGTTTTGCTTTGATGAGTTAGGGGGATCGTTTCTTAAACGGTACAGATCGGCGTAGAACTTTTCAATTGAGTTTGCAATATCAGATTTACTTTTTTCTAGTTGTACTTGTTCATTTTTAATGGTTATTATGTTTTTCTTTCCTAGTTTCAATTTGGTGCATTTGAGACTTCGGTTTTTCACTATGATTTGTTCTATATAGTCTTCTTGATGTTTTTTAATGTCCTCTTTTATCTGTTTTCTTATTACTCGATTAAGTTCCTTAAATTCTGCAGTGTCTCTTTTGTTTTGTCTCAGAAGATCTTTTCTTTGTTTCAGCATGTTTTGTGATTCTACACTTATTTTGGATTTTCGTTTTCTGTAAGCGGCTGCCACTTTTGAGCTTGCATTTAATAGTTCTTTTGTTATGACTTCATTGATATCATTTAAACTAATTTTATCTAGATTTAATACTTTCACGGGATTTAACTTGCTTTTATATTGTTCTGTATTAGATTTTAGTTTATCTGTGTTTATATTCCAAGTTGTTCTAAATTTATTTCTATTTTTATTATGTTTTATCTCTAATTTGGCTCTAACCATTCGGTGATTCGGTTACATCCTGTATGGTATCTGCTTTGTTACACAGTATGTAATCCATTTCGTTCCGAGTTTTTCCGTCTAGGGATAGCCACGTTCACTTTCTTTGAGGTTAATAATGGCTGTCCTTAGGCACTCTGGAAATATATATTAGTGGAAAAGATTGAAACGTAGTTATGAGGTTTGAATCGGTTTGTAAATGCCCTTTTGTCCGCTTTTTGTCGATCGACGATGATAAATATAATAAAAGGTTGAAGTTATGATTTATGACAGCTACTGGTAATTACACAATATGATGTTCGTAAGGTAACTACTGGTAATAAACTGTACTCACATGAGCTCAAATCCCCAATTTATAATCTCACAAATAATTCATACCTCAGCACAGAGGTTATTGCTTTCTATCATACCATACCAACAAACTTTGAATTATTTTCTTACATTACAATTTAATCTAGGTCTTTATTGCGACACTTAGGAAGTTCAATTAGAAAATATATTATTCGGCAATTTATTTAGTTGTAGGTAAATGAACTAATTATTAAAGGATTAATTTGTGATTGAACAATTAGTGAGACCAGGACTTCCAACACATTTTTTAGAAGATTTAAAAAAGTTTTATGGGTACTCCATCAATAGGTACTACAGGAAGATTTGCTTTTGATACTACTGATTGTTGGGATCAGTTCAGATTTATCAACTGGTCTTATAAAGAATGAATTCGAGACCTTTTTTGCATTGTGGAGATAGGAAATAGAATCTTTTTGTGGCAAAATGGTTAATGTTATATTCTTACTCACATTAACGAAGTATTCATTTAGATTTTCATCTATACTTGGAGATACATATAGTGACAAAGACGCTGGTATTAATTTCTTGATGTACAATAGTGAAAGCATATTCTTGGCTGATATATGGATACCTTTGGTAGTCCAGGGTTTGTAATATTTTGACTTAATTGTTATCAAAGGAAATGCCTTATTGAAAATACAAATAAGCCTACTTAAAGAATCACTGAAATTATAGTCCACGTCCATTGAGGGAAAGTGCCTTCCAGAAGTCAAGCACTAATTTTGGAATTTACGAAAGTTCTGAGCGAAAAAGCTCCTACCTAAACGTTGGGTTTTCGAGGATGGTTTGTTAAGACTGTTAAACTTGGTATATACTGCTTTATGATCAGATAGACTTGCAGAAATTATTTTGTATTGAAAACAAAGAGCGTCCGTCAAATTTGACAACTGTGAAACAGAAATCGTAGTCATTAAAAGAGGCGTTCGACAGAAATGTTTGACCTATAAACGCAAGCAAAGATCGAAGATAAGAAAAAAGTTGACCAAAGAAGGCTCAGTAGACTTCTTCAGATCAGCTGCAAATTAAATACGCATAGCTTTGATAATAATCAACCTCTGAAACAGAAGGAATCAGAAGAAGAAGATTACCAACGATGGGGTAAACCAGATTAGTACATAGTGGATAAATGAAGAACAAGCAAGCTTAGATCGAAGCTTAACTTACTGGAAATCTTAATGGCAAAGGAAATAACGAAAACTGGTACATAAAATTAGCATTAAGTAAAAAACTATTGGAAAACAAGAAAAATAAATAAAATATACCAACCTGCATGGCTACCAATAAAACTGCAATCAAAACTGCGCACTTCTTCATATTGGATTGGTAATATTTGGGAACTGTATAGAACTATACTGATCTATATCGCCTCTTTGACTTTATATATACAGAAAATTAATTGCGTTTAATTTAGTGACAAACATTAAAGATTATGTAAAAATTTGCTATTTAACAACAATGAATTAAATAAACACCAATTCGTTGAATACAATAATTGTTACAGGATGTTTATGTGGATGCAGTTTGATTTATATAATTACAAAACTACTTCTAATTTAGTTTATTAAATAACTTATATAATTTTACATAAATACATATTAGTTTAATTTAAAATGACAATGTATTTTTTTATATAAAAAATTACAAACTTACAACCTGAAATTGAAATCAATTGCCAAATTATTAAAGATAATATGAAATTTAATCTTTTGGACTAGGCGAAAACGATGGTGTCATTTGAAAAAATATATTAATATAAATAAAATGATTGTATACTTCTTCTTCTTTTCATTTAGACATGACTCTGTCTGTTTTTCAATGTGCCTTCAGTAAGTTGTCGTTCCATCGTTTTCGTGGTCTTTCTACTGATCGTCTTCCTATCGAGGAATCATCTCTTGCCATATTTACTATTCTCTTTGTTGTCATTCGGCTTATATGATCGTTCCATTCTACACTTCTATTTCTTACTTAGTTCTTGATGTTCTCCACCTTGTGAGTGATCTCTGCTGTTTGTAACATAATTTTTGTCCTCTCTGTGTCAGGTCGTGTTTCTGCCGCATATGTCATTATTGGTCTGATGACTGTTTTGTAAATTCTGCCTTTCATTCGATATTTTTCTTTCTCCATATTGTTTCGTTCAGACAACCTGTGGCTCTGTTTGCTCTATTCACTTGATCTTCCTCTTCAGTTTCGAGCTTTCCGTCGTAGATAACGTGATGTGATAATATTATTTAAACTCCATCACTTGTTCTATTATCTGACCTTCCAGTTCCAATTTACATCTTAGTAAACTTGCTGTTATAACCACGCATTTTGTCTTTTTTGGTAAAATTACCAAGTTAAATTTTTTGGTGGTTATATTAAATTTATGCAACATATGTTGTAAATTATCTTCACTTTGAGAGAGTAAGTAGTATTGCGTCGTCTGCATAGCAAATTATTTTAAGTTGTATTTCTTCCATTGGGTATCCTTTTTTAGTTCTTACTTTTTTTATTATCTTATTTTTATCATCCATGATCAGGTTGATGAATTTTTTTTGTCATATTTTATGATGGTGAAGTCATATTTTATGATGAAATAAGAACAGGTATAAAAACAAATAAAGCAAATTACGAAATAATATTAGGAGATTTTAATGCTAAATTGGGCAAAAAAGAGGAAGATTATGAACATCTAATTGGTAAATATGGCTAACGGCAAAAGAAACGATAGAGGAGAAAATGCTTCTCAATTTCATGAATGAACATAACATGTACTCAATGAACTCCTTTTTCAATAAAAAAAACAAGCAGAAAATGGACATGGATGAGTCCCGAATAAAAAGACAAAGAATGAAATAGATTATATCTTAACGAAGATAGAACCTAGTAGAAGACGTATCAGTATTAAATCAGTTTGACCTAGGAAGCGATCATAGACTAATAAGAACAAAACTAATAATTAACAAAAAAAACTAGAAAGAAAAGAAGACATGAAAAAAAAAAACAAATGGACATCTAAAGAATCAAAAATAGTGAATTTAATAAAAAGATAGTGCATGCATTAAATCAAGTTAACATGCAGTAGATAAACTCCAATGATATTGATGATTTGAATAACCTTATTACCGAAACAGTGAATAAAAGCCTTCTGCAACTGAAAAAACCAAAAACAACATACAATGAATTAGACAAAGAAATATTACAACAAATAGAAAGAAGGAAGATCTTAAATAAATCTAACAAAAGGGGAACCGACGAATATAGAGAACTTAGTAGGCAGATTAGAAAAGGAATCAGAGAACAAAAAAGAAAAGAAACAAAAAATTAATAACAAACAACTATTGAAAAAAATAAGAGTATGAAATGCCTCAGACCGACACTAGGACGACGTCAGATGATATCATTAATGGGAAAAGACGAAAATGAAATCACAACTAAAGAAAAAATACTGACACGAATAGAAGAATTTTACACAGAACTTTACAGATCACATCAACAAGATGATGAGATGAGACCAGCTCGGAAATTAATAAAAATGTTGGATCAGAAATAATGCAAAAGTAACAATTTCAGAGGTAACTACAGCATTGGAAAACATGAAGAAAATAAAGCTGCATGAGAAGATAGTATTACCACAGATATGATATTAGAAGGAGGTAAGGAAACTAATTGCAATTGTAACTAAGCTTGTGGACAGTTGTTTACATCAGGGCAAAGTCCCTAGAGCTGGAACAACTCTAAAGTAATCTTATTACACAAGAAAGGTGATAGTCGAAAATTGGAAAACTACAGACCCATCAGCCTACTGTCACACCTGTTTAAAATACTCACCAAAGTCATAACTACTCGACTAAACAAGGAAATTAGGACGAATACCAACCATATGAACAGGGCAGGTTTTAGAAAAGGCTATTCAACTTCTGATCACCTGTTAACCACAAAAATATTAATAGAAAAATGTAACGAATACAAGTTTCCAGTTTTCCTAGCATTTGTAGGACTACGAAAAAGCTTTCGATACCATAGAACACACGGCCGTAATAAACGCAATGCAAAATTATAGAATAGACAGCAGATATATTAACTTAATAAAAAAAACTATGAACCAAGCTAACAGCTACATACTACCTAAATGAAAATGAACACACGAACCCTGTACCATTAAACAGGGGAGTCAAACAGGGAGATACTTTATCACCCAAACTGTTCACCTTAGTTTTGGAGGACGTTTTTAAAAACCTAAATTGGAAATATAAAGGAATAACTAAACATCAATGGCCGCTACCTCAGTAATCTACGATTTGCAGATGACATAATCCTCATAGCTACTGACCACAGGAATGCAAACCATGCTTTTAGAACTACATACCGATATCCTAAAATAGGACTGAAAATAAATTTAAACAAAACAAAAGTCATGCACTCCGAAGACACCGTGACAATAATAAACGATAAAGTTATAGAAAAAGTTGAAGAATATATATACTTAGGACAAAAAATAATCCTAAATAGGAAAATTCAAACTGAAGAAATAAAAAGAAGAAGAAAGTTAGCTTGGGCAGCATTCAGTAAACTGAACTATATACTCAGAAATCAACAAATTCAATTACATCTTAGATCTAAAGTTTTTGATGCATGCATTATTCCGATATTAACTTATGCGGCACAAACATGGACAATCACAAAAAAGAATATGAATATACTTAGAGTCACTCAACACGCGATGGAAAGAGCAATGCTAGGTATATCACTTAAGGACAAGAACAACAAACACATGGATAAGACAGAAAACCAAAGTCACCGATGTGGTGCAAAAATCATTAAAGTTGAAATGGGAATACGCTGGACATGTAGCTAGGAGCGATCTAAACAAATGGCACAGATCAATTTTAACCTGGAGACCATACCGATACAAAAGACCCAGAGGCAGACCTCCTATGAGATCGACAGATGATCTGAAAAGGACTGCCGGGAAAAATTGGCTACAAGTAGCGTACAATAAAAAACAATGGAAAGGAAGACTTGAAGAGGCTTATGTTCAGATGTGGACGTGAATGGCTAGACGAAGAAGAAGAAGAAGAAGAAGAAGATCAGGTTGAACAATAGAGGACGCAGGAAATCTCCCTGTGTTATCCCATTGCCAGCTTCAATAGGGTCGGTTAGTTCTTCTTCTACTTTTAATTTTTGTTGTGTTGTTTTGGTAGATATTTTCAATCGTTTTGATTATTCCTAGAGGTATCTCTATACGCAAGATAGATCACTCTATTCCTAGAGTGATCTATCCTGCGTATTATAAGGGGATAATATCCTTTAAATTACCTTGGTCAAATGCCTTCTTAAAATCCACGAAACATAGATATGTCGGTTTGTTGTGTGTGTCGGCTCTTGCATCATTATAAATATGCATGCTCTTTCCGTCCTAAAACCTTGTTGTTCTTCTATTAGTGTTATTATTTCATACAGTTTATTTGTTATCACTTTGGTTGTTAATTTTAGCGTTATGTTTAATAAATTAACCTTTTTGAATAGAGGTATTAGGATGCTTGATCACCATTCTTGAGGAATTTTGTTTTGTTCTATTATTTTTTGAATTAGTTTTAATAGTTGTTTAACCAGATCTGGTTCTCCGTACTTTAGGAGGTCGTTCGGTATTTTGTCCGAAAAAATATAGAAAATCTAGTGATTCTCTACATTTTTCAATTTCCTTAATGCTTCCTTTAGCTCTTCCTCCTCAATATTTATTTCTTCGTTTGTCGCCACCCCTGGTGTTGGTGGTTTATTATCGCCATTCTTAAGCAAATAGGGATTGAAAGTAATGTACTCATGTTTCCTTCTGAATGTGTTTCGTTTTTATTAGTTCGTTCATCTCTTTTCTTTGTCCTCTGATCCTTCTTCACATTTCTTTTTGTGTTCCTTAGAAGTCGTGTTCCATCTGTTTCGAAAAGCTCTGCCAGTGTTCTCTTTTTATTTGTCTTACTAAAGTATTCGTTGTGTTTGTTGTGTTCTGTATTGTAAAAGGCTTTCTTCTTTTCTTCACATTTTGTCTTCACACCCTCTTTAAACCATGGTGTTTTCTTTTTTGATATATCAGTGTTCGTTACTTTTGTCTCTCCAAGTGATTCTGTTGCTGCGTTAATTATGTTATTTTTGAGTTTTTCCAGCTTTTCTCTATGTTATCGATTTCTAATATTTTATTTACAGCGATCTTGTCTGATATTCTTTTTCTGTATAAGTATTCTGTGAAGTATTTCAGGATGATTCTTATTTTACGTAATACTAGGGTATGGTCACTAACAATATCTGCTGAGTTGAGGCATCTTACATCGATTATTTTCGAGGGATGTATATCTCTGTTGGTTATAACATAATCTATCT